CTGCCACGTGCACAGGCACACTGAAGAATATACAGTGAAAGCACTAATTTAGATGCTAAATATATCAAGACTGTTGTATGCGTCATGCGAATAAGATGCAAATAAAGAAATCCCATTAAAATTTCAGCTTTCTAGCTTTTCTAGTCCCCGAGTTAGCAGCTTACCCATCAAAAATTTTTGCGGACCCGTAAGTGAGAACCACGCACACCTGGCAGCTGAATTTGAAGTTATTTGATTGTACGTGGACAGGCAATGGTTGTCTGATCCGCACAAATATAATACGTTTAGAAAATGAACTAATAAGTTAGGATAAGTGAAATTCACAGCTTTGTTATACGTTACTCATTGTTAAATCAAATAATGAAATTCTCTCATAATAATAATAATAATAATAATAATAATAAACAATAATAATAATAACAATAATAATAACGCTAACAACAATAATCTTTGCTACGAATCAAATCTGGGAACTCTTCTAGTGGTAGCAGAACTTTAAAATTATTTCAGCGAACAAAGTCCTTATACTTAAATACTTAGAAAAGCTGTAATCCACATCTTCAGCTATGCGACTGGTAAATTTTCTAGGTGCTTTATACTAGCCACAACACCTGCTGATCAGTTTGCTGGCGATCCTAACGTTCGTTTCGTCTAATTTAGAATGACTTACAAATTTATGGCCCTTAAAAAAATAATTTCTAGAATAAAGCTAAAAAGCGACCTGAACAATATGAGGAGTGACTTTTGGCCAAATTTTCATCGCATGTATCAGGGGTCTTTTTGACAGAGTAACAAGTATTGTTGTTATTCGACGAAGAAGCGCTGTTGGATCGACCAGAGAACTGGAGGGCTGTGAACTTGAATACTGTAAACGACTTTCGCTTGCTGCCACCAAACTTTGTATAAGTTCGCATAGTGAAACCAAATTCAGCTCTTCCCCAAAGCGTTCGTAAATGCTAAATTTGGTCAATCAGAAATTCAAATAAATCTAATAAATCTAAAAAAAAGTCATCGAAGTTTTGTTTAATCCTTCGAACAGCAGATATTTTGCCATCCCGCTCCCTCATGACAATGATGCTGCTTGACAAACTTCTCCTTTGGGCTTCTCTCAAAGTTTTTTTGGGCTTCTCTCATCCACAGAATTCCATATAGCCATTCCGGCAGATCCCTCCACTGCATCAATCTTTATCTCTGCAGTCCGATCTCTCAATCGCTTTGCTGTAGTGATATGGCGGCAAACATCGATTGTGGGTACATTTCGGTATAACTGGGGCAGTTTTCGATACAATTTCATTCTCATTTATTATTGCAAAAAGCTTTACACGAATCCACGCACCTGTTCGTGACCATATAAACAATCAGGCTTCAAACTAGAAAGTAAAATGCCATGGACAGCAAAATCCCATACTCGCTCTGCTGACAACGAGCGAGTGTCGCGCATTTTAGTTGGTACTTGAGAGGGAATAAATGATCACTCAGCCGATGTATCGGCCGAAGTAGCATACACACATGAACGAAAAGTCTGGCACAGCTGTGCCAAGCATGAAGGAGCATATAATAATATAACCAATACGAAATTCGCACAATGGTATCTCGAGATGTTATGTATTCCTACTATATTGAACGTAGAGAATTATAAGATACATAAAATAAAACAAAGTAAGATAAAATGTTGAAAAAAATTTTTTTAAATGGTAAGAAATGTTTCGGTCCATCAAGTCGTATACATTTCTTATCATTACCACAATCAAATCTAAAAACGGAATCAGTGTGTCGACAATGAATAATAATTGGCCAACGCACGGGCTGCACGTGCGAAGATGCGTTTTTTGCATGGTTCCCCTCAGTTTTCGTTGCTACCGGCAGCGGTTTTTTCGGCAAATGCTTCTAGCTAAACAGATTAAGACTGGCCGTCAGAACTCTCAGAAAACATCCCCTTAAAATTTCAGCTTTCTAGCTTACCTGGCTCCTGAGTTAGCAACTTACTGGAACAAAATTTTCACGGGCCCGTGCATGTTTACCAAGCATGCCTGA